CTTGAAGACGTTCGCAGTCAGATCTGTGAGCAATGGTCATACACAATTTTAGATCGTCGGCATATAACATACAATTAACATCAATTATATCAGTAATAAAGGGCCCAGGTTCGAACCCTGTGGCACTCCTGATTTTGCGATATACTCAACTGATTTGAAGCCATTTATATACACATACTGTTTACGGCTTTGAAGATAAGATGTAAATAGTTTTAAGAGGGAATCATGAAATCTGAATAATTTTAATTTAGTGAGCAAGGTTCCGTGATCCAATGTGTCAAACGCCTTAGTAAAATCTGTGTATACAACGTCTGTTCGCTTTTTACCGTCAATATTCTCGGCAATGATTTGTGTTACGTTAACAAGATTAGTTAGCGTTGAACGTTGTTGTACAAAACCATGTTGATGCGATGAAATTTTACCGCTGACGTGCAAATTAATATCGCGATACAATAAAACCTCGAACACTTTCGAGTTACATCATTCCTATCTCCCTTTTTGAATATAGGACACACTTTCGATGTCTTCCACATATCTGGAACGGTAGATGTTTTGAGACATATATTTAACAACACCATTAAAGGATAAGCAAGGGCATGTGCACAGTCTTTAATCAGAAAAGCCGGAATATCATCAGGACCTCTAGTTTTCTTTGCTTTTACTTTCTTTAAAGCATACAGTACGTCTTTTTCACTAAAACTATTAATAGAAAGACAAGTATATTGTTGTGTATCATCAGCTGTAAAATATGGATCCGACGACTGAATGAATGATTGTTGAAAGTGTTCGGCAAAACCATTTACAATAGAATTAGGATTATCTAAAATAATATTATTATAACTCAGATTAGGTACGGAATTAAATCCCTTCGTCCTATTCACAAAAGCCCAGAAACTAGAAGGATTCGTGGTAATATTTGATTCTGCAGACTTAACAAATTCTTTATAAGACTTATCTACATCTAGTTTGATTTGAGCCCTTAACCTCGCAAACTCTATGTACGCAGATGGGTCACTATTTCTCTTATATAGACGATGGTACTTTGCTTTTTTACGAATGAGACCAATAATATTATAATTAAACCAAGGTGGGTAAATTTTAGAAGACTTTACAGTGGTTTTGGCCACACACCCATCGAGCACATTGTAAATTTTTCCGTAAAAGTACGTACATGCATCATTAGCATTTTGAAATGCATCTAAAAACGTCCAATCAATATTAGAAATCATTTGGTATAACCAGGGCCGTGCCTGACGGGCGTTCATTGCGTGCACCGCACGCAGGCGGCCGAAATTAAGAGGCGGCCAAATCGGGAACAAAACCAATATTTTTTTTCGTTCTCGATTTCGGTTAACCAAAAACTGATTTTTTTCCCGGTTTGATGCCCTGTGTATAATAATAAACATTAAAAGTTAAAGTAGTTTTTTTTAATGTTATCCTGGGGGCGGCCATACAGACTGGCACGCAGGCGGCCATATACCCAGGCACGGCCCTGGGTATAACTTTGGATAATTAGCTTTACGAAAATTATAGTTATTTACTATAAAAGTGGCTAGACGATTTTTATTGTAAGTAGTATTGAATTTGCAAAAGATCTCCAGAGCAGGATGGTGTTCGTCCTCACGAACCAGAGGATCCAAGGATCTTTCAATTTTGCACTGATTTGTGGAAAATACCAGATTCTAAGAGTTATTATTAGAATTATGGATACTATTAAACTGGGATAGATCAAATATTAGTGCAAATGTGTTAATATGAGAAGTTAATGTAGAAAATCTGCCGATTTTCATATCGTTGGAGTAATCGGAGACATTAAAATCACCCATGACTAATATATCACGATTATGCAGAATAGTTGTGGACTCAATCGTTTCAAAGAGCTTTTCATAGTTAACAGTGCTGGTTCTAGGGGGTACATAAATATTTACAATTATCAAAGTCTTAATATTAAATTTAATTTTTACCATTAATATATCTATAGATGGAGTGAGTTCACCAAAGGACGGATAATCAGATAAGCAAATTTGAGAAGACACGAGATTGTCATTCACTGCAACTAAAACACCACCACCCATATACAATTCATTAGAGAGTATTTTCTGTCAGATCTATATACATTATATGAATTTCCGAACAATTCCTGATTAGTGATTGATGATTCGAGCCAGGTTTCCGTCAAGGCAACAACAGTAAAGTTCCCCTGTACAATCAATTATTTTTGTCCGAAGACCACGAGTGTTTTGATAGTAGATACAAAAGTTGGAAGAAATATCAGAGCTAGTTTGGTTGCAATCATATATCGAATTAAATAAATTTGACTCGTTACAGGGGGACTTCGGTAGTTGCTAAACAATCGAAAAATCTTGTTTTAATTTTTCTAAGGCTTTTTGATATGCGATGCACTTTTCTTTTTCCCACACGGCATGATCGACAGGTACATTTAATTTAAGTCTAGTATTATGTTTACAACAGTTACGTAGTTGAGATGTGAAGCTTTTAACATCGTGATTACCACCACAAAGAGGACAGCTAATATCTCTAGAACATTTATTAGAACTATGGTAATAATCATTACATTTATAACAGCGGTACACCTCAATTGCCTCATATACTTTACAGGAATCATATCCAACAAATAACATACCAGTTCCTATCACTTTTTTATAAGTTATCAGTTTCAATCACAGCTTGAAATATTGCATCATTTTTCTTAGTTGATATGACGCTAATGATGTTACACTCTGCATCTTCCACAAATACTTCAGGATTACCTTTTTGAATTAAGTTAATAAGGTCGTCCTTCTCAAACTTTGCAGACATTCCAACAAGACGAAATCTAGGATTAACCCCACACTTCACAAATTTCGTAATTTCTTAGCCATGATATCCCTCAGTTTCGTGTTATCTTCCTTACTTTTGCAGCCAATAAGAATTCCTCCATTTTTTACATTTTTGATTCGAGATAAATGAATATTCTCTTTAGAAGGGTCAACCTGACATAGTATTTCGGATTTTGTTTGATTAACTGACTGGTTTGCTTTGGGTTGAATTATTAACGCAGGTTGGGTCTTGTTTTTTATAACATCTGAATATTTTGGCTGATTTACTGGGAAAATAGGTTCATTCGATTTTTTTAATTCGGCCTTAAGAACGTTGAATTGATTATTCATAGTGGCCAAAACATCATTAATTTCGGTACGATCGAAAACCGAACTTTTACCTGTACAGCAGTCACATTTCCACGACAACCCCGGTATAGTAGTATATCTACTGCTTTATAAATACATATTCCATGAACCTCTTTTTTACAGAGCTCACAAAAAACGGCCGGCTTAGTTCTTGTGATAGAAGTTGAACATATGCCACACTGCGGCATTTTAATTTACCTTAAATTTCATCCAAACTGAGGACTTAAAAATGCACTATTCACTTCACAGATATCATGTATTATCAAGCTATTTAATAGGAACAAATCAACATAAACTCAATTATTAATACTTAGCATAAAATTAAAAATTTTACTATATTCTAAGAGCCGATGTTAACCGTGGCACGTCTTACTTATTTAAATAATACCTGCCATTTAGTTATAGAAAAAAAATTAGCAATTGTTTTTAAATATGTTTTTTTTATTGCTTTGAAATTTATATTTTATATGTATATTAGGGGTTCCTAATTAATAAATAAATCTATCTACTATTAGGGAATTTATTGATTCAGTTAATTCATTCGATTCTTCGGAGTTTTCAAAATCAATCAGTCGAACCACCTAAACAGTTGCTAGTAGCTCACTATCGCTGTTTATAAATTAATTTTCCATTCAATGTCGACTATACCGATTTTATTATTAGCTTTAGTAAGTAATGAATTTGTTGTTTGTCCGTTTGGCTTATAATTACGATTATTTAACCGTGCATCGACCCGATAGTTTTTATTTTCAGCTTCCAGATTTATCCTCGTATAATCATAGTGAGATATCAATTTGACCTCTGGAATTTCCGTACCTCCATCGGAGGCTACTCGAGATCTTTTGATGCCCTATCAAAGGATGTGGAACAAATCAACTCGAGTAAATTCCGGACCAAAGGCGTCAAAGGTAAAGATCATTTATCACTGTGGCGAGAAAACGCCATGCAACACTCATTTATTATCAATAAAACAGACAAAGAAAGTTAACTGTTATAAATATTTAACTATTGAACATATGACAGATTAATGTATATAACTATTTCTCTCTTATGATAAAAATTTAGCAGCTTTATAATTTTCACAAAAATTTTAAATCAAAGAAAACCTGAACTGCCCAGATAAAATAAATATATTGTTAATGAATTCCGTTGTACAGTAAGTACATAATAAAAGATTGAAAAAATTAAAAAAAACTGAAGTCATTACTCAAGAATCATATACAAAAAATTTAACTAGTACAATTAAGTGTAAAGAAGCGTTTATTCAAATAAAATTAATTAACACCTTGACTGCATTATAAGTCTCCAGAGACCGGCTCCGACATTTCTTTCAGTGCGACCACCAAATATCTTAATTTTTTTGCAGTTACTCTAATTTCGGTAATAGTTGGTTGATCAAACTGGACACGTCGAAATATAGGATTAATACTAAGAGTAAACTGAAACCCACCGACCTTCATATTAAACTGGATGGTTATATGTCACAAGCCCCACTCCTAATTATTTCTAAGCCGACATGGGTGAAAAAAACGGTCGGTGCGAATGTCAATTTCAAGCGTTCTACGTCACGTTTTCCACTGATAAGTTCTATTATTATTGATATTGGAAAATTTGTTTTAGATGCGTATTATTCAAAGATCATTTTTAAGTGATTTTCTTAAATTAAAAGGTGTTGTAGTTGAACGTAATAAGTGTTAAAGTTAATTTTGGTGTTACCTTTTAGTGCATTTGGATACGCACCTGTGGGCGCCAGGCTCTTAAGAACCCTTGATTATAGTTATATGTAATTAGTTTTCAGAGCCATTAAATTTAACAGCACCATGCCCATTACTTGATTATGCTTAAACAACAGTACTCCAAATAATGCTGTCAACTATTATGTTTTAAATTTAGTTAAACATGATTAGTGAAATGAAAAATATAAAAGACAACTTAACTTGTTATTTATTAAATCCATATTTGTCTTTTCTAGAACGAAAAGATTAAATTGAATCAGTGGCGGCTGGTGCAAAAATGCTAAAGAACTGTCAAAAAAAAAAAAATAAATAAATGCAAGTATATCTGATCTACACTTCACAGAGATTATTTTAGACATTCTAAAATATTTACATAAAATAAATTTTATGGATAATCTCATTAATTTTAATTATTACACGATATCCATAGCGCGCAAACTGATTCTACTGTCAGTTCATATTTGTCTCTTAGCTGGCTCGCGCTCATCATCTCCACCTCCCACAGCTCTCTAAAAAATATCGCCAAATGGCTGCATTTTTGCCAGATTGGCGAGCTTTGTTTATAATCTGTCGTATATATGATGTGATTCGATTTTGGTTTTGTAGATCATTAGTGTGTTAATTTGCCAGCGCGCGTTTCCATTGTACATAAGATACATGGATGTAGTTTATAAGTTAATAAACAAAAAGAGATTTTTTAAATGCGCATATGAATGAGTACAAGTTTGCTGCTACAAAGAGACCGCAGAATAGAATAATTCTATTAATTACTAATGTATAAAAAGTAGGTAAATAGCTGTAAAATAATTGGTTTTGGGGGAGGAGGGCAGAATCTTGCAGAACACCTAATGTGTTTTACCACGAGCCACCACTGAATTCAATTAAACTATCATTATAATAGTGTACATTCAAAGATTTCTTATTATTTGTTAAAAATCATAAATTGTTAAGTTGCAGCACCCTGTCTACAGCATTGAATTTGTAACTTTTAATTGAAAGCAAACAGAAAGAAACCTTTAATGTACCCTATTATATACGAATAAACAATTGTGTTTAGATTATATACATATAAAATAAATTTTGGAATTGAAAATTACTACTCAATACAATACTGTATAAAATTGATGATACATGAAAAAAATCAATTCCCGAAATTATGGAAAGACATTCAGACATCAGGAAGGTCAATAAAATAAAGTATATGGCTCCTGTAACATATTAAAAAAGAATAATTTGATCTTTTAAAAATATAGCTCCAATAATGAAAAAACAACTTATTTCCATCCACATTGGTTTTATCATTTATAATAATTATAAAATTCCTTATATATGAAAATTAAATTTCCCTTAATTTATCTTGTATAAAAACTATTGCCTCTTTCAATAATAAATAAAAATGCATTTATACAAAACATATTTAAACATTTTCATTTTTACACAACAAAAAACATATAGTTTTTATCTTTTTCTTTTGGGGGTATAAGTAATTGGAGCAGGCAAAGGCAATTTTAACTGGACTACATTTTTGTTATTTACTTTTGCATTAAAGGCAAGAATACGAGCTACTTCTACAGCCTTTTTAACTCCAACCTTTAAGTCTTTGGAGAGAAGTTCGACATCAACTTCAAAATCCATTGCGATAGCTGCCAATATCATGGTATAGCAGAGTGCTTTGTCTTTCATATGCAAAGGTCTTGCCCTAAAAACAGACAGCATTGAAATAAAAAAGATTCACATTCAGAGATTTTCATTTTAGTACTTACCTGCCACTCTGTCCCATTTCAGAAAAAGTATTTAAAATTTGATTATTAACATCAATAGATTTATCACAGACTACAAATTTTTTGGTAATAGATTTCATAGGGGTAACCATAAACTTTATCAAATAGTTGATATACAAAAAGATGGTGATCCTTCTAATTCTTTCTTCTTCAGTGTACTCATTAGATAATATTCTGTTTATATTAGATGTTGAAAATTGACACAAACTAAAAATGAACAGGAACCTAATTAAATTGTTACATGCTTTTCAAATTTTTTGCCTTATTTCAAACTTTGTGGTTCTACTTAACACTATTCTACCATTTAATGTAAGTTCAATAACTTTTAGCAATTTGTTTACCCAAATTGATCTGCTGCTCCTGCATTCATGATGTTGCCAGCTTCCACAGCTAGTGTATCAAGAATATATGCTTCCACTAAATCTTCTAAATTGTATACTCCATCTGGGGTAGATGCATCTCTGTTAATTTTCGGCCTGTATAGACTATTATTTTCAGACACTTGTTCCGTTTCTTCTACTCTAATATCTGACAAAGAAAAATTATTTTAGTTTCATAATTTTTTCACATTATTGTTTTTGTTCTGTACATGTTTCGTTATTTTTTATCTATATCCATTGGCATAGGTAGCATTATCATATGAAGGAGGAAGGGGACTGAGAGAGGAGCAACAGGACAACAAGACTGATAGATTAGATTTTGTCCTAGTGGGGGAGGGGGCGCATTTTCTGGGGGTGGCTGTGCCCACCTCTGGCTCCCTCTAGCTACGCCAATGTCTATATCAACAAAAGATGTAATATATTTTGAGTCAGTGGCATAGCAGTCTCACGTGCTTATATTCATTTAGTTTTTGGTCAGAGACAAAGGGGCTTATAGGCTTTGATGTGTGCTGTATTAATAGAAATTCAATTTCTGTTGATATGACATGCAGATTATAATATCGCCATGCGTTATGGTCTCGATGATGGTGGGTGAGTGGGTGTTCCTCACCTGTAAATCAAATGGCACCATCAATCATCTTTACGTCGCCCCGGAGCGCCACGGCAAATAATAATAACCGTCCCTTCCCCTACACAAGTTGTTCAGTCAACTTCAGGGGTTGAAATTCACCCATAACGGAGTGAATTAGGGAGAGTATTCTATTCTATTCTATTCTTTATTAATCCATTTAAACAGTTATAATGTTATTGGACACGTCAGAATTATAAATATAAAGGTGTATACAATAAATAAAAGTAATTAAACAAAACAATACAGACAAATATAGAAGAGACAAACGTAGAATGGTAGGCGAAAAGGGGCATTTGTATAAATTTATCTAGAACAGTTTGGTGGTGAAGCATGTGGTACAAATTTATATTGAAAATATTCTTGCACTGAATATGGACATATTTCTAAAAGCTGTTGTTTTATTCGATAATTAAATGTTTTTAATGTTGATTCATTTTTTATGCTCTGTGGCAGTTTATTGAATAATTTTATTCCAAGAATTGTTGGTGACTTAGCACAAATATTTAGCTGTGCTAACAGAGGAACAAGTTCATCTTTGTTCCTGGTGCTATATGAATGAAAGTCGCTATTACGTTTAAAATTCGATTTGTTTTTATATATGTATATTAAAAGTTCTAAAATATATACTCCGAATACGGTAAGGATTTTAAGTTTTTTAAATAGAGGGCGACAGGAATCTGTTGGTAGAATACCAGCCAAGCATCTTATAATTCTCTTCTGAGATATAAATACTTCATTAGCATGGGATGATCCGCCCCATACACAGATACCATAAATCAACCTAGAATGTACATTTGCGAAGTAAATTTGACGAAGATGGTGAGGTTTTAAAATGCATTTAAGGTTACGAAGTTGAAAACATTGTGAGTTTAAGGTTGTCGCTAAATTTTGACAGTGAGTTTTAAACGATAGATTTTCATCGAATGTTATTCCTAGAAATTTTGTGGAATCAACTGTATTTATGTGTGTGTTGTTTACAGACATATCTAGACAAGGTATATTAGAATTTTGGTATGTATGGAAATAAATGTAGTTAGTTTTTGTAATATTAAATAATAATGAGAGATTACTAGCCCATTCCGAGAATATTTTAATTGACCTATCGATTTTATTTTTCAATTGTTCTTCAATGGGATCAGAAAACAAGAAAGTCGAATCATCTGCATAGAGAATTGTGAATGCATGGTAAAGTAATTCTGGAAGTTCATTTACATAAATTGTGAAAAGTATGGGAGCTAACACTGACCCTTGGGGCACTCCTATATTATTTATTATTTCTTGAGAGAAACACTGTTTTCCTGAGTTGTTACTTTTAACCATTTGGGGTCTATTTGTAAGATATGTTTCAAACCATTTATTTTGATTGCCTCTAATTCCAGATGAGTGAAGTTTATTTAATAAAACATCATGCTGAACACAGTCAAAGGCTCTGCTAAGATCACAGAAAATCCCAGCCGAACCCCCACTACACTCAATAGATTGAAGCACTTTTTCGTATAAGGAGATAATGGCTGTATTTGTAGAGTATTTAGGACGGAATCCGTGTTGAGATTCAGATATAATCTGATTTAAGTTAAGGTATTTCATTAGTTGCTCCAGCATTATGTATTCGAATATTTTTGAAAGAGTAGAAGTCATTGAGATAGGTCGATAATTAGACATATCGTGCGGGTTACCTCTTTTTAATATAGGCGTTACTATAGATGTTTTTAATCTTTCGGGAAAAATACCTTCTTCCAGGGAATAATTAATTATATGAGTTAGTGGTGTTAAAATATATTCTGCGATTTTCTTTATCAAGTTTCCAGAGATATCGTCAAAACCGCTGGATGGTTTGTTTTTGATTTTTTGTTTTATGACTGTGTTTACATCTGATTCAGAGACATAAGAAGTAAAAAAGCTCTTTGTGGGTGACTTATTGTTATTATATTTATGATTTGTTTTTGGAGTTGAGATTCTGTTAATTGTTTCATATGGAATCGAAGTAAAAAACTGATTGAACATATCAGCTATAGTTGTTGGGTTTTCAATAATTTTGCCATCGTTGTGAATTGAAATACTCTTTGTTGTCTTTGTCTTACCTTGTAGTTCATTTATGACTTTCCATGTTGCTATATTTTTATTTGCCGAATCATTAATTTTATTATTATAATATTCGGATTTCGTGTTTTGAACAAGCTTTCTATGATTTATTTTAGCATGATGATAACATTCATGCAACTCGGGGAATTTTTTCTTCAATTGAAATAGATCTTTTAATTTATTAGAGGACTCTTTTATGTTCTTATTTACCCAACAGCGAGGTGGTAATCTGGAAGCATTTATTTGTCTTAAAGGGCAACTAGCGTTAAAATAGTATGTTAAAGTATTGTGAAACACATTGAATTTTGAGTTGGTAGTATTTTCTTGATATATCCCATTCCAGTTTTCTTTGGAAAGGTATGTTATTAGGTCGTTAATGTTAGTCTCTCCCATTAATCGACTTTGATATGAGCTAGGATTGGTTTTTAGTTTTAGCTTATTGAATTTTAACAGGAAATTGTCATGATCTGAGTCTGTATTTAAAGTTACGATTCCTACAGTATCTTTGTAATTTGTGTAAATCTGATCAAGTACATTACTACATGTTTTGGTAGTTCGAGTAGGAGTAAAATTTTTTGGGATGAGCCCATATGATGTGACTAACTGTTCAAAGGCAAAGCTTTGATTTGAGTTCATAGAGGTATGATTAAAATCCCCAGAGAGAACTATGAAATACTTGGGCTGATAAATTTTATTTAGAATTAAGTTAAGATTGGATAAAAATGTTGTAGGATGTCCGCTAGGTGACCTATAACATGAGAGAATTATAAATGTATCGCCATTGAATATCCACCTTATACCACATATTTCTATTTCCTTCTCTATGCAATATTCTTCAAAGGAAATCGATTCAATTATGAGATGTTCTTTGGACCATATGCAGACACCACCTCGTTGATACAATGAACGACTAAAACAACTAGCTAGGTTATAACCTGGAAAATGAAATGTTTTTATATCCTGTTTAGATACCCATGTTTCTGTTAAGCAGACAAAATTTATAGAGAAATGATTGATTTCCGATATAAGGTTATCAAGTTTATGTTGTTTCAATCCTTCAATGTTACACAAAAATATATCATAACAAATACTTTTTACAGGATCCTTATGTGATAAATAAACACTTTTAGTATCTATGTTATTGACATTTCGTCGGCTAAATTGACAAAATTTACATCGCTATTGAGTCCTACATTTAAGTCATTTGTTATATCTATAACATTGTCATTTAAATTCTTGTTAGAAGTTTCAGTATTTGTAACATCACAAATTACATTATTACATGTTATGTGGATCAAAGTACCATTTTTTTTGTCATTGTTAATTAAATTTGATAATCTAAGTGCTAATATTTTTTTACTAATACTATACCCATCCTTATTATTCACATCTACTATTGATACCTTGCTTTTTTCAACACATTTATCAAGTCTTATAATATAATTTATTAGTTTATCGTTAAACTTATTAATGAAAAATTCATATTTCGGCAATTTAGAAGGAACTGTAGTCAGAATTAAATTGGTATTAAGACATTGTTTTAATTTAAAATTTAACAGTTTGAAAGAAGGGTAATTATGATACAGAAAATCATTAAAACCAGCTTGAATAATAACAAAATCATTTAAAGTAAATGTTTTTGTTAGTCGATCTATGTATTCAATCACATCTTTAAGGCAGGCGCCAGGTTTAATAATAGTTTCTATACTATATTTATCCTTAAGTTGCAAATTTAATAATCTACCCAAATTTCTACCCCCCTCATCACACAAAATTAAAATTTTATTTTTATTGTCTTTATCCCCTCGGCGCGTCACTGTTATGTCATTCATTGGTTTGGTTACTTCATGGGCTAATTCATTAATATTTTTTGTTGATTCAACACGTTTGTGGGTTGTATTAGAGAACTTGTTAATATCATGTGTAAGATTTTTCAATTCCCAATTGTATCTAGCATTTTCACCTTCTAAAAGTTTAATACTTTCCAACATTTGCCTGCTTATCCTATCCAAATCCTTTATCTCATCCTCCAAAGACACAATTTTATCATTTTTATTCTGAAGTTCACTTTTATGTAATTTCTGCATCTCATGAAAATCTGAGATTTGTTTGTTCAAATCATTTATTACATTTATTTGTTCCTTTAGTTTTTCAACGTCTTCTCTTTCTAATTCCAGAGCTTCATTTTCAAAATCACGAGTTCTTTTATTTAATCGTTTAATGTGATTATTTTTTTCTTCCAAGGTTTTACTTATTTCATTAATTACTGCCTGCATTTGTTCAATTTCTTCATTTTTATCATATTCATTTTTCTGTAGTAATATATTTTTTTCGGAATTTTCCTTTTTTAATGAGTCAATCTTTTCATATAACTTATCTGTTTCCTCTTTTTTATAATTATCTTTATTTTCGCAGTTTTGGGAACAGTAAATTTTACAACCGCCTAATTCTTTAAAGTGTTTTTTTCTTTCAATACAAGAAGGATGAAAAACATCAAAGCAAACGATACAATACAGATTGTTAAATACCTTATTCTTACAACATTTAAAATTGATTGGATCCATTAGTTACAAAAATCATTGGCAAATGGAGACGATACGCCACTGGTAAAAGAAATGTATTTGAAATAAAATCTTCAGCAGTTACTGATGAGAGTTTTTACTTCACCGATAAGTAGGAGCATAAAAAGTGTACAAAAAACACCAAACAAACTGAATGCTCCAATAATCAGATGCACTTATTTCACACCATAAAATATGTTTCTGAAAAGTAACTATATCACTGGACACAGGAGAAATTTCACTTTCGGTTGATATAATTTTCGATTAGGTCCGCGCGGCATTACGCGGTTTAAAGCGACAAAATCGAGCTTAAAAAGTAAGGCCACCGAATACGACTATGTTATTTTCTTCTCCCTTCTTATTATTATATTTCAGGCTGTACATTCGTCAATTACAAATCTTCCAATTTTTTTTAATAGGTTATCATATAAGAAAATACAAAGTTTACCTCAACCCATTTGTGAAACTTAAAACAAGTTTAAAATAAAATTCTGAAACTTTTGTATAAAAAATATTCCCCAGAAAGTTACCATTAAATAATAAATTCCTTTTTTTTCTTCTTACAGGCTGTGGGTCTCCTCGTTGAAATTCTCTTGTAGTAATTTTAGAATATGTGCACTTAGATATTCCAGTAGCTCTTAACACCCTTTCTCTATAATTAGAAATTGGTATTTTGATACCATTTTGAGCTTCATATTTCATAAAAGTAAACACATTGTTAATAACTTCCCTAGCTTGTCTATGTATAACCTTTCCTTTAATACCTAAAGTCTTTTTAGGGGGCACTTTAAGTCCTAATTGTTGACTATGATAAATAGTACCATCAATTGGTAATCGGAATCCCTTCTTTCTACTTTTAACTTTATCTTTTTTTGGCGTCGCCGTTTCTATTACTTTAGTTTCTTTTTGAACTAATATTGTATTGTTAAATTCATTATCTTTATCTATTACAAACTCATCATGTAAATACATTAAAGATTGTCCATGAGGTATCTGATCAACTTGTATAGGCAATTGACAATTTAAATTTACCATATCTGGTAATTGTGTTGCGTTAGAAAGTTGTATTGTTACTGTTTCCCCAGAAAGAATTTCCATATTTTTAAGTTCTATACATTTTTTTAATGGTAATTTCCAAGCTAAACTTGGTGGTTGGTTATAGTCAATGTCGCTAACCACCGACATGGTGGTATTATATGAGGAAGCAATGATTGTTTATTTATTTTTTCTATTCCAACTAAATATAAATATGTTAATTAAAAGATACCGGTTTGTACATTTTCCAAATCATAAAATATAAACAATGTTGATAAACTTTGAGGTTATGATTCTTCTTTCTTGACAAATCTGGTCTTCGGTATTAAGGCAATGAGCAGCAGGAAGGCCCCGTCCAATGAAGTGAAGAGGAGTAGAATGATAACTGTCATTACATTTTGTAAACAAGATTCAGGGACGGTTTAAGAACAGTTTGTGAAACAATTATAAATAGTGCATCGGAAAATAATTATCAGGTATAATTTAATACTAAAACGAAATCAAAGCACAAGAAATCACAAATATAAGCAAGCCAATAAAGAACTGACGCCAAAAAAGCCTCAACGCACACACAAAAAAACAACATAATAGCTAAACAAAGCCAAGCATGGAATTTGTTTAGTGTGGTTTAGGGCAACCTCTCCTTGTCATTTAAGTGAGTAAGAGTAGAAGGTTGAATCATGCATAATTTCTATACTCATCATGGTACCTTATCATTCTACCCTCTCTTCTTCTTTGGCCCCTTCCTCTTAATAGCTTCGTTCACAGTAACAATCCTGAATTGATTCTAAACGCTAAGGTAAAAATTACACTATTTATTATACCTGGATTTGTATGGTTTAAATGTTTATGCTCTACCTTAGCATTCAGAATACATTCGGGACCAGTTTCGCGAACGAAGCTTTTAACACTTTAGGTTCTTTTGATCACTGTTGGTGCAGTGTCAATTACACCACCTTATTTACTTCCCTCATTTCTTATACACATCAAGTATGACTCAACAAAACGCAGTAGCCTTGTTGTGGGCAGTGAAAGTAATTATGATTCCAATACCTACATACCTGCCACTGTACTTTCCAACTGTTCTTTTACAGCATCAATGTTCATAGTGAGTCGCTCCCTTTGCTCAGTCACTCTTTTTGCTTTCTTCGACCCAAATTGCTTATTTAATTCAGAAATAGAGTTATCAAGCGGGTTTGTTATACCAGAAAAACTTATTTTATTAAAATGTGGTCTCACAATAGCAGTGTCTACTTGAATTAGTTTAATCTGAAATAAAAATTAAATAAATGGTTTACAGTTCAGTAAAAGTACAAAAATAACTTGAGATGTGCACCTAGTCATTGTACTGTTGATACTAGACTTACTTCAATTTGAATGTACTAAATATAAAATTAAAACTTTTAGAGGATAACACAAAAGGTTAGAATGTTTTTAGGTAGTACAAATTTAAAAATATAGTATTTTCTTTATATTAGCTGTAAGTTAAATGACTAATTTATGAATTCCAAAAAATTGCATTAACAGAAATTTAATAAGGTTTTTTTGGTAATTTATGTTGCCTAGAAGAATTGCTTGTACTTTTTGATTAGAATAGACGAATGTTATCTTCATGCACTCCTAATTATAATTAAGTTTCTTAGTTATACTTAGGACTAAACATGCACCTCATCCGACTCCTTTTTATGTATCAAAATAAAGTTGTTATAAAGATCATCTTCATCTATTATTCCAGTATATAACATTTTATTTGATGTGACTCCAACCAAATGTTCACCAAGTGGAGTCTCAAACAAGTTTACTTCTAAATTTTTTTCTGCCTCCAGTTTAATTTTCGCATTGTCGAATTCAACTAAAATATTTTCAAATATATCTTAGTACATTACTATGAAATATAAAACAAGTATGTTATGTATTACCCAAAACTGGTCTACGTCCAGTTCTTTTCGATACTACTTTCCTAATTACAGGCATATTAAAATTATGTAAAATGTTTAAAAATACTTTCAAACAAGCAAAATTATTCAATGCTTAAAAGATACACATAACCATATTTTCAAAAATGGATACTTTTGCGGTTCGCTAAATTACTGAAAAGTGAGGCCATTATAATTATTTTTGGCCTTTTCTCTTTCACTAGTTATCTGTAAAACACAAACGTTTTATTCACTGATCTTAACAATATACTAGATGGAGGCGTGCTGGGGTCTCTTGTTTGTCGAGTTTTCAGTTATTGGTTATATGTGTTTATGATTAAGGCCCGTATTCACTTCACAGATGTAGAAGATTTTATTTTGTTTGATGTTTGATAAAAAAGTGAGTGTTTTGTTAAACTATTTTTGCCGTTTTCGTTCACTTCATTTGATGTTTACTAACTCTGGTTTTTATTAAAAATTGCAGATAAGTAGGAAATAAGCACAAAACATGTTTAATCAAAGTACACTAGGTGGTAGTTTTGGGGCAGCTCCTACTCCTAGTAATGTAAACCCCATGAAAGATTTTGAAGTAGTATCACCACCAGAAGATTCCATAAGTTCCATGGCATTTTCTCCTGCAACTTTACCGCAAAATTTTTTGATAACAGGCAGTTGGGATAATAATGTAAGATGTTGGGAGATTGAACAAAATGGCACTAGCATTCCAAAATCAATGCAAACATGTGGAGGTCCAGTTCTAGGTATGCTATATGTGAAATATAAATAATATTAATTTAAAATATTTGCTTTTTATTTCAACAGATGTAGCTTGGAGCGATGATGGTACTAAAATTTTTATGGCTGGTTGTGACAAACAAGCTAAAATGTGGGATTTGGCCAGTAACCAAGTAGTTCAAGTAGCCATGCATGATGCTCCTATAAAAACATGTCACTGGATCAAGGCCCCAAATTACTCTTGTTTGATGACAGGCTCATGGGATAAAACACTTAAATTCTGGGATATCCGTAGCCCTAGCCCTATGATGAGCATTAATTTACCAGAAAGGTGTTATTGTGCTGATGTAGATTACCCTATGGCTGTCGTTGGAACTGCTGGAAGACAGATTATTGTGTATGGGTTGGAAGGGAAACCACAGGAATACAAGAAGCTTGATAGCCCTCTGAAGTATCAACATAGATGTGTAGCTATTTTCAGGTATGTAACAAATTGCAAAACTGTGAATGTAAATGGTTCCTCTGCTTTTTACATGATCACCCCAGGAGTACCTAAAGACCCAGCTTTGTCACCTGACACTATTTTTATAACATTAATAGTTTACTCTTGAACCACTTACAATCCATACCATAAGTTTCAGAGTGACATATTTGCATGCAAGTTTTCAAACTTAGAAGCTGAAGACCTATTTCAACTGCTATCCACACACTAATATGCATTTATGAGTAAGTCAGATGGTGCCATAGCAAATCTGTATGTACAGTTGGTGATTTTGTCATTCTAAACTAACCCTTGTACTACCAAACTTTTTTCAAATGTGGCTGGGTACACATGCACCTCTTTTTTGTTTTCTGTGTTTTCTAGACTCTGTACTTGTATATTGAAAAATGAATGTAATTTGATGATGGCATTAAATATATTGGATTTTAAATGGACCAGAAAGTTAATAAAAAAATTAAATTAAAATTATTAAGAAAAAATCAAGTAAAATTTTGTAAGGATTACTTTTGTAGCATAAAAATATTCAGCTACTGAAACCAGGGTGCAGAACAAAAAAAAAAAAGAATGGCTTGAAACTCAAAAAAAAAACACGGTAATACAAGAGTTAATGGTTTGTACTTTTCCAAATTTTACTCAATTCCATCACAAGCTAGACCTGCTTAATACTTCGTTATCAGACAGAAAAGTCACACTTATAGCTGAAAAACCTAAAATGAAGCTCTTATTTCATTCATAGAGTATCTACTCTTTGCTTCACCCACATTCATTCAAAACTAATATATTTCTAAAATAATTTGTTGTAGAGATAAGAAAAAATCTCCAACTGGTTATGCCTTGGGTTCTGTGGAAGGAAGGGTAGCAATCCAATATGTAAACCCTTCAAATCCAAAAGACAACTTCACATTTAAATGTCATCGTTCAAATGGTACACCGAATGGCTATCAAGATATTTATGCTGTAAATGACATTGCATTCCATCCTGTACATGGAACTCTAGCTACTGTAGGTGCAGATGGATCTTTCAGCTTTTGGGACAAAGATGCCAGAACAAAATTAAAATCCTCAGAGACAATGGAACAGCCCATAAGTAGGTGTGCATTCAACCACAATGGACAAATATTTGCTTATACTGTAAGCTACGATTGGAGTAAGGGTCATGAGTTCTACAACACCCAAAAGAAAAATTACATTTTTTTGAGGCCATGTTATGATGAGCTCAAACCAAGAACATCTTCATAATTATTCTTAGTTGTATACCATTTATTATAATCATGATCATTTTAATTAATAAATATTTAAAATTTGTGTCAGTTATGGATTTTTAATATGGTGAAAGCTCAAGTCTATGATAGGAAAATTGATTTAGTATATGAATTCAATGACAAATGTGACAATTTTCAAATAATGGAGATTCCATCATGTGTAACACTCTTGCCATATTGGTATGAAATTTTGAGGTTTGTATGTGTAGGTGTCATTACTATGATTATAGTACAAGATTTTTTTCTTTAAAAATCATAAGACAAAAAAATATTCAGGAATAACTAACGACGAACAACTACTAGACTAATTTTGTTTACAAAAATCGGCTTGCAAACATTCATGGTGTTATCCACAAAGATGTTAAAATTTTGAGTCTTGCTACAAGGATTGTTTATGGTTATATTCAGTATTGACTTAACATAAGGCTCTAAAATGCTTTCAAAATTACAATAGGGTATATTTGCATTCGTAATGCCAGTTTAATGTATTTTTCTGGTTGCAACTATCAAAGTTGAAGGTGTTTTCCAGGAAAGTACGTAATTAATTTTGGAGCGTGACAGCAGTGTAATGCAAGCGTTGTAGAAAATACCGATTCTTAAAACGCATGCTCGCTCCTCAGATAAATTCACAAAAACCATCCCCATTCAAATTAGCAGCAGTCTCCTTTCTAATGTAGCAGCCAATGCGACAGCTGTCTTCATAATATAAAACAATTTAAAGATGTTTTAACATATCACCAGTAAATGGATACAAAAAAACATCCATACTTTAGAAAATAGGGATTTTTATTTGTAAAAAAAGCAGGTAACTTTTTAAATGTGTTCAAAATTTTATTTTCTATTTTACAAATTTTTAATATCTATCTGGACTGCTAATTTGAATTAAGCTCTGCCTTGTCGATGCCATTTACTTAGTGTGACATCTCCATCCCTTTTCACCTGCCTGTATCAATACCATAGAAATGGAAATAAAAACTAGCAAAAATAATAATAATAAAAAAAAATAGGATAGGGTTAAAAAATACATTTTTATTATATATTTCTTTTATTGGTCAGATCATTGCAGATTATGGCTTAAATATTTACTTAATACTTTCAAATATTGGGAATAGCTTACTCCTTTTTCTTTGGAACAGTTTACTCCTTTTTCTTTGGAACATATTGAAGTACCAGTACTGATTTTGGAGAGAGTGGTACATTTGTCGCTTCTTTCTTGGCACTGTAACAAAAAAGGTAAGAAATAAATATTTTTCTATCTATAATTAACATCTATAAAATCGCGCGTTACTACTAAAAAGATAGTATAAGCTTACCCGATATCTTGAAATTCAGTTTCATTATAATTTTGGCTGTAGTATTGTATTGTAACTTCTTCTAGTTTTGATAAAGGTGGAATTTCTTTAACATTAAAGCTAACTCTTTTGTCACCTGTATTCAATGCTACAAGAACACCTGGATTTCCGGATATTTCTCTGAAAATTTTAAAATTATAAAATTCAATCAAAGTTGACGAGAAATCAGATTATTTTTAATAAATGTGTAAATCATACCTCTGTCTATTTTTTCCAGCGAAAGCACAGAAAAATAATAAATATATTTATTCAATCAGCATGTAAAGAGAAAACAAACAATATTGTCAACAGCAACTCAAAAAACAATTATTTTAACTAGGTTATGGAATAGCTTTCATACAAGTTTATTATTTTTACAAGGGCAGCAATGTCATTGATATTTTAATTTGGTTTCAAATGTTGACATTTTGATCTATATGAGGCCAACCTCTCCTCAACATTTAATGGTAGAGAACTTAGTAAAAAGAGCAATATATATTGATGAAGAACATAGTCATCAGATGGAAATAGAAATATTTTTTATAGTAATACATATATAAACATGTTTACATACATTATCATACAGCATACTCCTATAAAATTTAAAATAAAATAGGATTTTAAAAGATCATGGTTGGTAATAGTAATAAAAAAATACAATATTAAAAATATTAGGTGACATGTTTCACTCTTACAAAATAATTGTTAGTGTTATATAGACACATGTCCAGTAATATATTTTTAATTTGATGTTTAAACTTTTTTCCTGGTAGATTACGGATGTAGGGCGGAAGTCGATTAGTTGCAGGACAGAAGATACCTTTGATATGAAACGAAAAAGAAGTAGTTTTGAGAAAGCAGAACTAGAGAGCAAGAATCAATTACTTTTGCAACCGAAAAGCATACCATTCAGGGGTGTACAGATGGTTTCAAAACCACAGAAGGAACTGGAATTGGAGTGTATGGGCCTGGAGTACTCTGAAAGTTTGGCCGTCTTAGCGACAGAATATTTCTTTTTGATTGCAGTGTCTCTTACACCCTATAACTATATAATATAATGTGAACCTCTGGACCAAATTTAATTTTTAAATTTTAATTTTTTGAGTTGTGACAATATTCTTTTAAGTATGCATGAGAAAACGAGTATTAATATTTTAATGCCCATAATTAGTATATAGTATGACAATAGCGTCAGAAAGTTATTTTTATTACTATAAAATATATCCACAACAGCCAGAAAATCTTTGACCAATTGGACTGATTTTCAGTTCAATAAAGGTCATTTAACTATTCTAAATTATATTAACCTAACAAAGCATCTTTAAATTTACCCACATGTTAACCCTTAAAGATAGAAATATTATAATGAATGTCCAATAGAGCTGGGTGACATTTCTCGTATTCTGTGTAGGCTTTATTACTGTTTCCCAGTTCCATTTTAATTATTTTAATCAAAGGACCCTATTCTAATGTATGTGGTCAGACGCGCCCTGCGAGTTTTCTAAACGCACTCCTGAAATGACAAAACATTTGACTATTTTGACAGATGTAACTATTTAAAAATGCTTTGTGACTAGGGATGTAAAATGTATATGTATTGAAAGTGAATTAAGATTTACCTGACAAAAGCGAACACAGTATAGTTACTGATAGCATACATGTCACAGTTGCCTCTCATAATTGATGGGGACTCTCTAATTTTCACCAATTGCGGATCAATTGTAGCATTGAGGTCAACAAGCGTTGTTCCAGGTAAGAGATTTGTAACTATGGTAACCACGTCGGATGGCAGAGATGAAGATTTTTCCTATTAAAAGCAAGTTTCAAAATTTTGTTACCAATATTTTTAGATTAATTTTTTTATAGTATTGTTTTACAGTTAATAGATGTTTAACAGAAAGAGGGTGAGTTAAGTAATAATAAATATTGAATTTTAGAGAGAGAAAAACTAAGGATTATCGAAGTGGGCTAAAAATTAGTCTTGGTAATTTTTTTTTTGTTTTTTAGCTTAGAGGATATTGAACACAACACTTTTATAACTAGTCTTACCTTCCATAATGGCCATTTGATATTATCAAACTTAAAAGTTTGATTTAACTTTTGAACAATGGCTTTGACATTTGGTTTGGCGAAAATGTTTTGTAATAGGGGCAGATCTACCACAAGAGTGTTATTTTCTTGATATGACTGTACTTTTCCTAATTCTTCTGCTACCATTAAAAGGCCATCTTCAGTCACATTTCTTACAATCTAGAAAATATTTGTTCTAATGAAAATTCCAATATTATTTTATATAATTATTTTGATTTCGTTATGTAAATAGTGGCGATTTGAAGATGCACCAATTTTAATGACTTGTAATGTTATATTTATAAATGAAACCTTTGATGATAAATGATAAAAATTACCAATTAAATCAGTAAAAAGAGTAAAATTTCTGTACCACAGGCGCCAATGATTTTTTATTTAATAATTTCATTTTCAGTTCAGAAATAAACATTAGTGATTACAAAGTTATGCAAATTGTGTGGTAACTTTTTTATTTCTCGGTAAAAATGTTGATATACAGAATGGCATCAGAATTAATTTTAAATAATTAAATTAAATAAAAAAATCCCGGCCAACGGTGGGATTCGATCCTGAGACCTTCCGATCTTAAAGTCATGACTCTAACCACTGAGCCAACCCACCCCCCTGATATACAGAATTGAAGATATTAAAAATATTATATTCAAATTCAACGCGCCTTCTACCGCTGATCAGAGTTTGGAAGGGCTTTTAAAAACCAGTAACTTTAAATTTATATTTATTGCTACATATGAAATGTTTGAATAATTTTCAGAAATAGTTCAGAATTACTAATATTTTTTTGAGGATATTTTTTATTAGATGTTTTATTATTGGCCTATGCATTTAAAATATCAATTTGATGATGGTAAAACTTTTGTTTTTATTAGATGCATATATACCTTTATGTCTCACAAAGTAAAAAAAAATTAAGAAAATTATTTTTCACATGCAACAACTAGTAAAAATAGTTATTATATGAATGAGACGTGATATATGTTTATTAAAAATTGAAAAATGAAAAATAATGACCATCTAGTCTAAATTCTACTAAACCACACCACCAAATGCACACTTCGAAGTACCTTGATTTAAAAAGTTGTTTAATTTTTATCTAAAAAATAATGAACATTGCTGTAATTAGAACAGTATAATTCATACATAAAGATCATTTATTTATTAAGTCTGAAGTATTTATAGGTATTTAGAAACAGCAGAAATATAAAAATAATTACTTACCTCCTTCCAATTCAAGAACAATTTTTTCAAATCTGGCACATTCAAAGTTTTTGAGGGAATGAAGAAACCTGGTTCACCCACGTCTACTCCAACTTTTTTTGTGATCAAAGTTTCGTCTTCAAATTTGGGATCGACAAGAAGTAAGGGCCCATTTCTAATACGAAAACCTGAAGCTCCATATTTTATAAACCTTTTCATAACTTCGCCAAATTCTTTCACCACAATTTGATTACGGAAATTAAGATGAGGTTTTAGTAGTGGCGCATAGTAGTATTGGTTACGTTTTGGCGAGAATATCCAAGAAGAGTTATTGTTTAGGTATAACTGAAAAACAGAACATATAAATATAAAAAGTATAATCTTATATATAATATACAGGTTGTTTCCGAACTTGGCGTCCAAATTTGTAGGGGTGGTAGTTCGCATAATTTGAGACCGATTCGCAGATTTCATTTTTCCAAAATATTTAAAATAAAAATAATTAAAAATTATAAACAGGTACGATCCTGCACAGCGATGAGTCGCTTCAACTCGCGCGGGCTACGCTTAGAATCGAAAAAATTGCAAATCGCATCTGTTTTTGAGGTCTATTGCGCTACGCGTTCTGGGTAGGACCTGCTCTTTGATTTTTTTTATAATGGCTCTATTTTGTTTATTATAATTTTTTTAGAAAAATGAAATCTGCCAATCGCTCTCAAATTATGCGAACTACCACCCCTACAAATTTGGACGACAAGTTCGGAAACACCCTGTATAGTGCTGGAAAATACCTTATCGCTTTTCCATCATCATACCTAGTCGAAAAAGGCTTCAGTGAGGTTACAAACATTTTGACAAAACAAAGAAACCGTTTGAAAATCAACGAACGCGGAGATCTAAGACTGCAACTCATCAGGTTCATCCATCATACTGAATTTTTATTTTTTTTTTATCTTTATTTTTTTTTTTTTCAAAAAATAATTACCTACTTAAGTATTTTTATGTAATTTATATTAATAATTACACTTGATATTTACTGAATTTTATATCTATTTATTTTGTTAAATTTTGATGAGAAAATGATGTCAATGGTATCAGTTCATTTTAGAAAAGGGGTCTCTTGCCCATAAAGGTTTGGAAATCCCTGCTCTAAAACACTAAATTCCTTGAAAATAAAATTCCAGAGTAGAGGTGTGGTATAAATTACTGATAATTTCGTGTGGTTCGTCAATTTACATTATATTTTATATTACTTAATATTTATATTCAAACAGTTGATTTTAAGACGCAACTGTATAAGACTGATTTGCATGTAATATTGAAATTCAATTTTAAAGTTTTTTTTTTAAACTTACCCAATTGTTAGGTGGTTGTCGGGCTTCCCCAGCATATTTGGGTGGTTGCCAAATATAATAATCATAAAAATTGGAATTATTATTTTGACTTTCATTAAACCATAGATCTGTTGTTGAGGGATCTAAATCTATGATGGCATTCGCACCAATTTCTTTAACCCTCTTTAAAAGTTGTATTACATGATGTGATTCATTTACAGGTAAGTAGGGATCTTCAGTGTACTTTATAATCAATCCTAAAATGCAAATTGATTACAATGTTAAAATATCCAATTTTCAAACTGTTTTACCTTTAATTCCATTTGAAGATTTCAATTCTGCAGGGTTCATATTTTTAATTTCAGCTAGTGGTCCAACTTGCCACCTATAACAAATTAAATGTGAGCATGTGTGAATCAGAACCCGTCATTGCAACTTCAGGGGTCCCGCAGGGCAGCAATTTAGGGCCTTTATTTTTATATTTACACACCATTCTGAATTAAATCTATGAAAATTGGCTGCTTTTTGTTTTAATAAATATCTAGTCGTTTTTAATGGTAGGTTTTCCCACATTTTTTCTTAATAGTCTCTGTAGAGAGCTGCCTTATCGTTGCACAAATTTAAAGTTCTCAATATTCTCGAGACACATAATATTTTGAAGGATTCCCAGTGGCATGCATGAATAAATGGAACATTCATATGAAAAAAATATAATATCTTAGTAAACATTCAAATTCAACAAGGAAAAATTCATAATAATGTATTACAGCAAAAATAAAGTGTGCCCTTTCAAGCCCATAATTGCTTATTCTGCTTATTTCTTACTATTTCTAGAAATTAATTCTTACCATGTCCTTGGTGGTGGTGGATCACACTTAGGAGCAGCATAGATGATCATGATGGCTCCAACTAACATGGCTGCCCAAAGTACCCAAAAGAAGATGAAAAGAAACCAACGCAAGCGAACCCAAAATGGATCATTTGCAAATTTCATAAGTTCTTCCTTGGACATGCCCCCAAATTTGTTTTTTTGTTCCTCTATATAAACAAATATTTAATTTTAATTCCAAATTTGTGAATAATTAAAATATTTATGAAAAAAAAAAAAAAAAAAAAAAATAAGACAATATTTAATATCTGTTTGGAAGGTTTAGAAAATGGCACATAAATATGGATTACAAACTGCAATTGTCATACAGTTGGTGTTGGTATTCAATAACATTTATTAACCTTTTGATTAAAAAAAGTAACATTGCTTACCATATGAAATTTCGATATTTTCCATTTTTTACTGACAAAATGAACAGAATGACAAATATTTGATTCTGCCTGCTAACGTGTATAAAATCTATTTATATTAAACAAAGTAAATATCAATAATCATTCACTATACATTTTTATTTTATAAATAACACAAGCTATTGCAATTGATTACAATTTAACTTTGATGATAATGGTTTAAAAGAATAAACAATTGTTATTGAAATTGTTAGTTAAAGAATGCAGAAAGAAGAAACAAAAAAATAATAATTTAATATGGTAGTTTGCAGAGAAAAGAATATAAATGGTGCATAATTAAAAAGATATTAAAACAATTAATGCAAATACATCTTTATCAAAAAACATTATACATATATTTACTTTATGTTTATGTTTAAAATTAGAGTACAACATAAATTGGTGATTGGGATACACTAAGCCAGAAACAAAAAATGAGTAAATATTTGGGTACATCAAATTTAAAAGAGATCTTAATAATAGTAGTAGGTACGTTTTTCATAGGGTTAATATTAAAAAAAAAATTGTTGCAACAGAACAAGGACTTCCTCAACAATAGAATTTCATAATGTTAAAACAAATTATAATTCTTGAGCCTATTTAGTATTTAATTTGGTCAATATTTTTGTGACTTCTGAGAACAATTTTATAAATAAATAATTATGTTTTACATAAAAGGTTTGTAGCAGTAGATTTGCATTGTATGACATTATGCAGTTGGCGATATAGGGTGGTTGCACCAAATGTCAGCCAGATAGAAAAATTTTCAACTTTATTTCTCTGCAATTATATATCTGCTGATTTTCTGAATCTAAGAGGTTTATATATTTTAAATTTAAATTAAAAATATATAATATGGTTACTTGTATCACTAATTTTTAAAGACAGCATTTTTCTGAAGTTGTCCAATATTGTCCTTAACTTTGGACAAAGTTTTGCCTGAAGTCGTTATTTACACAGACTGAGAAAGCATTCAACAAGTTTAATCACGAATTGTTACTCAGTAAACTCGTGGAGCTGGACATAACGGAAGATATTTATTATTTTATCAAACCTTTCAAATATGTTCTAGTGGGCATCTGTGAATCAGAACCCGTCATTTGCTGCGTTTGAGAATCCACATCGGATTCATCTGAGTTGTAGTAAATCTTTGATCACGTGATTCAGTATACGTAAATGTAATGGGACAGATGTGTCCGATGTGGATAAAAAAACGCTTGAGATGTTAAAAATGCATCCGATGTGGATTCTCAAACGCGGCAATTGCAACTTCAGGCGTCCCGCAGGGCAGTATTTTAGGGCCTTTACTTTTATATTTACACACCATTCTGAATTAAATCTATGAAAATTGGCTGCTTTTTGTTTTAATAAATATCTAGTCGTTTTTAATGGTAGGTTTCCTAAATTTTTTCTTAAAAGTCTCTGTAGAGAGCTGCCTTATCGTTGCACACATTTAAAGATCTCAATATTCTCGATACACATAATATCGTGAAGTATTCCCAGTGGCATGCATATAAATAAAATTTTATATTATAAAATCCTCACATTTTTGCTTTTCGCGAGAGGTCCGGTTATGTTATATTTCTTTTATGACGGGATCGACCGATATCAGTATCGGACTAATAAAAATATCAATTAAATATTTCAATTGCTAAGAATTTTTTAAAGAAATTAAAACGCAAATATAAAAAAAAAAAAACAATTTAAATTACATTTTTATTTAGAATTTAAGAGAAAAAAAAACCATTTAAAATCTAAAAGGAAAAGTAGATGTCAGCTCTCTTATGTGATACAAAAAAAAAATGTTAATTTTTGGTCCAATATCACTCCCAGATCTTTAAATGTTTTGGCATCTTTCTGAGATAATAAATATTGTCAGTAAAACAGAATATTATGTTTACGACAAAAAGTCATCATTTTACACTTAGCTACATAGATAAAATTGTTTAAGCACCACCAATAATTATACAAATATATAAAATAAAAATCTAATCATTGCTACCAATATTTTATGCATTACTTGAATGAAAACGACTTTTTAACTTTTAATGTGCAACTGTAATGACTACTTTCTGAGATGCTACTGAACACAGAAAGCATAGATCTTAAAGGCAATATGTTGCACATTCCATGTATATTATATTGATTAACAAGAAAATTAGGGTTAATGGCTGACTTTTAGGACAGGTCAAAATTAAGAGTAGGGATGTTGCGATACCACTAAAGTACCGAAACTGATATCAAAAAGGGTATCAGAACAAAAGTAACGATATTGGTATGGAAACAAAAATACCCAATACTAGTAGGTATGTCCTAAAGTTTTTAGAACAAAAAAAGGTCATAGGTAAGTCGTTAAAATAATAACAAATACCAAAGGGAGTAGTTCCAATAAAGGTAAAGTATCGAAAGCAAAGCATCAGATGCTAAATAGATAGACAGATATATGTATTCACTATTTTATACATATAACATATTTATAGCACGTCAGAAAATTTAAAAATATTAATTACAAGTAACAATACAAAATTTTGAAACAGTTAAGTCTAAAAAAAACATTACAATATTACAAAAAAAAAAGAAAAGATTATTCAATAAAGGAATATTGATACCAAACTACCAAACTCCTAAGATATATATTTATATTAGCTCCTGTTACAGAACTCCTCAAGAGAATATGGGCATAATTCCACTAGGAGATCTTTTAAAGATTTATTAAATTAATTCCACTAGGAGATCTTTTAAAGATTTATTAAATTGTTTTGAAGATTTCTTATTTGATAACACTTGCTGTTTAAAGTTTTAGATAATCCTAACAATAAGTTTGGAATGTTAAAGGAAAAGTGGCGACCTGTTAAATGTCATACATTTTTGATATGTTGCAGTTCTCGACCTCCTAAGTAATAGTGTCCATGGGACCATTCAAATTCTATGACTGGTTTTTGAGATATAGGGTGTTAAACTTAAGAAATACCACTTATTTGATAACGATTATTTTAGGAGAAAGCTAATCAATTATATTTTTTTTGTGCAAAATCTTATTATAACATCTGTTGGCATTCTGCGAATATAAAAAGGGATCAAAAATTATTTTCCTTTACAGGGCGGGCCACAAATATGTAAGGACATGTTTTTGATAAATACTTTTATTGTTCTAGAAGATGAAAATATTTACTAAAAAATAAATTATTGCTATATTTATCATATTCGGTAATAATGCAAAAGATATTAGGTGCTATTTATACAGGGTGATTCATAAATATCGACATAGACCAATATATTTTTTTATAAGTATTAATGTAAAACACAGTATTTTACGGGACTTTTGTGTATTTACCATATGTATAATTATCCAATTCATTGACTGACTACAGGGTGATTTGATAAATATATTGATAGTTAATTTATCGAATGTGCCAAAAAAACAATTTTTTAAGCACATAATTTTTTATTAGTCCTGTAAAAGTAGACATATTTTTTTCAATGGCGTATCAATTATCCTGTAGAAGATATTTTTCAAAATTATAGCTTTTTCTGATTGGTTTTACCATTTTTTATTATCAGCACTACTAATTTTGTGTGTATACTATTATTTTAACTTCATTTGACACTCCATGAATATACACAGGAATCCAAAAATATTTGTCTCTACAGGGTGAATCGTAAATAAGTAAAGACAAGTTTTTTTATAATTACTTTCAGTGTTTTAGAAGTTAAAAATATGTACAAAAAATTAATTATTGCTATAGTTATCATTTTTAATGATAATACAAAAGATTTTAGGTGCCATTTATACAGAGTGATTCTATTTTTTTAATGAATGTGAAACTTCGTATTTTTAGTTGACTTTTATGTATTTTTATAATATTAACATATGTCGAACTATCCAATTTATTGATTACATGGTGAATGGTGATTTAATGGATTAATAGTGTGTCAACAAAATTTGATAAATCACCCTGTACTTTTAGTCCTATAAAGGTGTTTCTTTACTAGTGTATCAACCATTTTGTAAAAAAAAATCCCAAAAATTACAGCTTTTTATTATGATAGGTTTTTGAGATACAGGATTTGACTTAAGAAATAACCACTTTTTGTTACCTGATATTCCAGGAAAAAGCTAATTAATTGCAATTTTTTGTGGCTAATTTTATTGTAACATCTTTTGGCATTCGACGAATATATACAGAGGTTAAAAAAATATGTTCATCTATAAAATGAGTCGCAAATAAGAAAAGATATGTTTTTGATAGTTTCTTTTATTGGTCTATCTATGGGATGAAAATAAATTATTGGTAGATTTTTCGTTTCTAATGACAAAACAAAATATTTTATGTAACATATTGTAGAGGTTGACTAGTAAAGATCAACGTAGACCAATACGTTTTAATGTGATACGCAATATTTTTAAGTGACTGATATGTGTATGTATCTACAATAGTAATATTATTGTACAAGTAAGTATTGAATTATTAACATATTTATAACTATCACTTTCATTAACTACACAGTAATTTATTAAATATATTAATAGTTGTTTTATGAAATGACATGTTTTGGATATTGTCTTTTATTGTTTATGTGATGAAAATATGTAAAGAAAATGAATTATTATTAGATTTATTGCTTGAATGAGAAAAAACACTTACATACATACGATATATACAGGATCAAAATACTGACGAGGGACCATATTTCCTTTTATCAGCGGTAATTGAATTAGATTCTATTTTATACAGGGTGACTTAATTAGTATAGCTATCTATTTTACAAGTTTTAAGTGCAGTTTTATATTGTTAGAATAACTATCAATATATTTATCAAATCACCCTGTAGTCAATAAATTGGATAATTATACATATGATAAATTAGTAAATACACAAAAGTCCCGTAAAAATACTGCGTTTCACATTAATACTTATAAAAAAATATATTGGCCTCTTTCAATATTTACTAATCACTCTGTATAAATGGCACCTAATATTTTTGTATTATCATTAGGCATAGTAAATATTTTCACCTTCTAGAACAATAAAAGTACTTATCAAAAACACGTCCTTACTTATTTGTGGTTCACCTTGTAAAAGAAAATAATTGTTGACCTCTTTTTATATTCGTAGAATGCCAAAGGATTTTACAATAAGATTGGGTACAAAAAATTATAATCGATTAGCTTTCTACTGAAATAACCGTTATCAAATAAGTGGTATTTTTTAAGTTTAACACCCTGTATTTCAAAAACCAATCATGGAAAAAAGCTGTAATTTTGAAAAATATTTTCTACAGGATGGATGAACGCCACTGAAAAAATATGTATACTTTTACAGGACTAATAGGGTGCTTAAAAAAATTGTTGTTTTTTGACACATTTGATAAATTAGCTATCAATATATTTATTAAATCACCCTGTAGTCAATGAATTGGATAATTGTATATATCGTAAATACACAAAAGTCTCAAAAAAATACTGCGTTTTACATTAATACTTATAAAAAAAAAATATTGGCCTATGTCGATATTTACGAATCACCCTGTATAAATGGCACCTAATATCTTTTGAATTATCATCAGACATAATAAATATAGCAATAATTTATTTTTTATTAAATATTTTCACCTTTTAGAACAATAAAAGTATTTATCAAAAACATGTCCTTACTTATTTGTGGCCCGCCCTGTAAAGGAAAATAATTTTTGATCCCTTTTTATATTCGTAGAATGCCAAAAGATGTTACAATAAGATTTTGCACAAAAAATTATAATCGATTAGCTTTCTCCTGAAATAACCGTTATCAAATAAGTGGTATTTCTTAAGTTTAACACCCTGTATCTCAAAAACTAGTCATAGGGTTTAAATGGTCCCATGGACACTATTGCTTAGGATGTCGAGAACTGCAACATACCAAAAATTTATGACATTTAACAGGTCGCCACTTTTTCATAAACGGTGTGTGGGGTCCTTTGCATCAATGTTCACTCCAAGACATTTAATGTTATCATTATTTTTAATTTGGATGTTATTTATGCTGACATTTAGATTTGGCACATTATTATTTTGAAAATTATGAAATTTTAAATATTTAGTCTTGGAGGTATTAAACAACATAAATGCATCAGAAGATCACACAGAGAAACTATTTAACTATGTACAGATTTTATCTTGCAAAACATTGTTGTATTTGGCAGAAAATAGTAAATTTGTGTCATCTGCATATGATGTAACAAAGGCATCCAAAATAATTAGTGGTAAATTGTTTACATAAAGGATAAACTGGACCGGTCCTAAAATGGAATCCTGAGGTTCCCCCATGTTATTAGGAAGTTCAGATGAGTAGTAGTTTCGTCAACAATTTATTAGATTAACTTTTGTTGTCTCCCGGTCAAATAAGACTCAAATCAATCATGTACACCACCTCTGATAACATATGTGTAAAGTTTATTCATGAGAATTTTATGCTGTACACGTAGTCAAAAGCTCAACTGAGGTCACAAAATATCCCAATTGGGTGTTCACCATCAGCAATGGCATTCAGAACCTTGTTGTAAAAAGATGTTATTTCTGTTTGAGTAGAGCGATTATTACAAAAACCATGTTGATTATCCATTATAATCCGATGTTTCACCAGGTAATCAAACAGTTGATTTAGCATACAGTACTCTATTATTTTAGATATAACAGATGGTACTGATATTGGTCGATAGTTTGAAAGATCCTCAGGATCATTTATTTTGTAAATAGGTGATACTAGAGAAAGCTTCATTTTAGGTAGAAATTTTCCATATAGAAAAGATGAATTTATTATATATCTGTAAGATAAGTTAATACAAAGTGTGCGATTTTTATAATTAGAATGCCAGATAACCTGTCAGAGCCACTCGATGTTTAATAACAATTAAAACCTTATTCTGTTACATAGCCAGTAAACATATTTTGTGACTGAACTTCATTATTGGGATATGTTATATTAATATTAGATAGTATTATTTTGTTTAGTTTCTAAGGGTATATTAGTACAGAAGTTATTAAACATATCTGTAAGCCTTTGTGGATCATGTACCTTTTCATTGCAGTAGGATATTTTTATATTTTTATGACATTTTGTATTTCCATTTAATTCGTTAATCACTTCCCATGTTATTTTATTTTTGTTAGAAGATTCTTTAATTTTATTAAAATAATATTCACTCTTAGCATTTTCTACAAGTCACTTATGCTCTGACTTTTATAGTAATTTTCAAGTATTGTATGTTTTTGTAAAATATATAAATTTTTGAGATTCTCAGACAATTTTTTTACATCTTCAGTTACCCAGCTTTTAGTTTTTTTGTTCGTTATTAACTTAGTTTTGGTTGGACAACTGCTTTCAAAAGCGCATATTAAGGTATAAAAAGTGTTAAAATTTTAGGTCAATATTTTTTTGGGAGTAGACATCATACTAGGTTTCTTTAGATGAGAGGTTTTTAGAGCGATTTATACTAAATTCAATAATATTTGACATTTTCAAGGGAGATTCTTTAAAATCTATTCCTAAAAGAAGGAAATTATCTAATATTGAATGAAAATTAAGTACATAATTAATTCTTCTTCAGTGACATTATAAAATTTGTTAGTGGTAAGGCCCACATAGTCTTGAATTCTGGGTCTAGATATGCCGCTTTGCATTTCTTTATGAATAAATTGATGGAACCTTAAGTATTGATACCAGTATCTTATCAGTAGTATCCTAACATCCATAATTAAGAGCACTCATTCTCTCTACTACTAAAGTGAAATAACCGAATGAAACAAAGTATAAAACTAGAGACTTGGTCATTAAAAGTCATCTAGTTTTGTCTTCACAGTCTTAAGTAGAATAGCTCATATTACATACTACCTTTAACAACGTAAAGGTCAAAATGGTCTTATTATATTCATAATTAAAATAGAACTTACCCCCATCAACTTTGGCCTCACCATTTTTTTCACTCATTACAATCTTAACATCTTTCAAAGGTATATCGGAATTAGAAGAGAGCATAGTGTCTTCTTTAGACAACATTCTTTCATCTGCACCATCTGCTTCTTTGAATTTAGACTTGCTTTCACTTTTAGTTTGGGACACCACACTGTCTAAATAAAGATATTTATTAATTAACAATTAAATAATGAACAATCTAATTCGACAAGTTTCTATACCTTCCATTTCCTTTTCAGATATGGGCCTGTACGTCTGGTTAGGTGAAACTTTCTTGCCGTCCTCGGGCTTGTTTTCAGTCATTTTTACACCTAATCACTGTAAATTAACGTTAAACTATTCTTTCCTGTCGCCTTAATTGTGTTTGACTATATAAGAGTTAAACGAGCCCATTCGCAACTCTCAAGATCTCAAGTAATCGATATCTCCTTTTGCCTTGCCTTTCAAGGAAAATGATGCAAGAGACAAGGAGCTTGCACCTTGCAATCAATGGTATTTAATGGAGAAAGGGAATCGAGGATCAACCTAAATTTTTGATTACAAACTGCAGCCGAAGTATGTTACCGATTTTGTAGATAATAGATGATGCCCACAGAACAATTACTTATAATGCCCAACTCAATCTTTTTTGACATTCACGATTTTTTTAGGTTAGAAAATTGCTTATCGATTTTTTCATTCGAAGTAATACAAGACGTCACTTTAAATTTCTATCTCTTTATGTCAACAAATATGTAACACGATGAACTTATAAATCGTATGTCACTAATGAATATGTGGCGGCAACACTGTCAGATACTAGAGTACATACAGGTCCGGTATAAGCCATATATAAATGGAAAATAATTTAATGTTTCGTTTAAGTTAAATAAAATATCAAAATTAAATGTTTATTTTTAAGTAAACGACATTTTTAAATGTATACGTCTTCAATTAAAAATAATGGGTCCTATGATTGAACGTTTACGTTATCCGTAACGTACATGTTAGGCTCAGTTTTAACAGTAATTACGCAAGTTCGTATGATGAAAAACGGTTTCCAATACATTACTGTTATTTTCCGCCTGTTATGTTCTAATTTAACAGTTTTCCATCGTACAAACTTGCTTCGTTACTGTTAAAATTCGACCTAACATGTACGTTATGGATAACATAAACGATCAATCATAGGACCCATTATAGGCTAATACTCAAGTGTATACGAGTGTACTGGACGAGAGATAATTTTACATTTTTTGTAATGAAACCAGCGGTAAAATAGATATTTGTGTACCAAGGCTGTGTTTTGGCCAAATTAGACATTTGCGTCCGAGTCTAAGGGGCCTATTCAGTAACTCTGAACGACGTCGTTAATAGACGATAATCGTTCACAGACGACTTTTCTTATTCAGTAGACAACGATTGTCGTTGAAAATAGACAAATATGGTTGTAAAATTGTCGTTCATCAACGATAGCCAAAGAGCTGTCGTTAATAATATGAAGTGTCGTTATAGTGATTTTTGCATTCCCTCTCATTTTTCATTGTTTTAAATAATAAAAGCACTTTTTTACAAATTTTACAACTAAATTGACATCTACTTAATACAGCAAGTACAATTTGTAAGGAATTTTTTTCTAATTTATTTAATTATTTTAAAAATAAATCTGATTCAAAGTTAGGATTGCCCATTCAACCATTTACTATTCGATTCTTATTAACAGTGCTGTTCTTTGCGAAACAGTAACAGAACCTATATTATGGAAGTACCTATAATACTTCTCCGTAACCTACACACATTTGGTTTGTCTTTCAAATCCAATAAATACAATTTGTACTGTTCTCGAGTTGTTTTTTGTATTCTTATGGAATAGTTCTCAGTTTTTTTTAATATATCCATACTCATTTAAATAAACCCTACATACAATACGACCAGCAAAAATGGCCCGCGAGAAACAGAATTACTACGAATCGAGAATCGACCCCCTGATGATCGTGTTGTAGGTTTAAAGAACAATAATTAATATATTCAGAAAAACAAATGAATATATCTACTAGTTCCAAAAAAATGTCAAATATACCGGGTGTTCAAAGAACAATAATTAATATATTCTGAAAAACAAATGAATATATCTACTAGTTCCAAAAAAATGTCAAATATACCGGGTGTTCAAATTAAAGGGTAGTTAAATACCGCCTTTTATAAAAAAAAAAACAAAGTTTTATAGTTTTTTGGGGAAAAAATTTTGGCTAAAACTGTTTTTTTATAGCAAACCATAATATGGCCAACTTTTTTTCGCGCAGCAAAATTTTCAAGTAGGTGTTACTCAATAAGTAGAAATCCAATAAAAAAAATGTTTCCTTTAGGGCCGATTTTAACACAACGGTGGAATCGGTCCTTAGAAGTTTCTTATTTGTTCATGAACTCTAAAAATACCTATGTAAAAAAATAGGGTTCCAACTTGAAAAAAAATCCACCTCGATATGGCCATATTATGGTCAGCTATAAAAAAAATAATTTGGCCAAAATGTTTCCCCTAAAAAACTATAAAACTTCTGTCTGATACTTTTTTTTTATAAAATTCATATTTTTGGCGATATTTAACTGTAAAACTTTAATTTAAACACCCGGTATAATCATCAACATACGTTCTTTTATCACAAAACACTAAATTATAATACCAACTTACTAGAAATCATCGTTCAGATTTGGTAACTAGAAACAACGTAACGACTTTGTTATTGAATAGAGTTTCAAAAATTATCGTTATAAAAGTCGTTGGTTGAACTGTCGTTAGCTTAACGATGTCGTTCATAAACGATAAATTACTGAATAGGGCCCTAAGCTAACGACAGTTCAACCAACGACTTTTATAACGATAATTTTTGAAACTCTATTCAATAACAAAGTCGTTACGTTGTTTCTAGTTACCAAATCTGAACGATGATTTCTAGTAAGTTGGTATTATAATTTAGTGTTTTGTGATAAAAGAACGTATGTTGATGATTATACCGGGTGTTTAAATTAAAGTAGGCGAGTTCGGATCATAGACATCATATTATCTAAGATAGACTCGCCCTTCACACTGTATACCCAATACACCTTCTGTCCGCACGTTATACCAGGGGCCCAATTCCTGACGCCTTCGTTAACTTATCGCATGCGATAACGTATGCGACTTGATGAAAGTGTATTCCTGAACTGGCGGCATTCGTCAAATTTATTAACGTATGCGCTAAGAAATGATGATTTTCAAAGAGCGCTCATGACCGTTCGACAACTACTTTGTCGCATTCGTTTAGGTGAAAGTAAGGTTATAATTGTCAATTAATCCTGCTTTATCATATGTGATTCGTGTTTCTATCTATTGGTTTTGTTTTGTGATTTATTATTGGGAAATATTTATTTTTAATTTGACTCTATTGAACATTTTATTAGAATATAAATTATGAAACTTTTTGTACCGTGAACTCTTTTATTGGACGTTTAGGTGCCACTTTATTTTGATTTAATTTTATTTAGTATGGATGATATAGAAGAAATATGAGTTTTACAGGCACTAAACAATGTTATAAATTCTACTAAAGTTTCACGCAATTTTTCCGTTATTCGTGAACCACGCTGTTCCATTTTTAATATTCTAAATCTAAACCACTCCAATTCTCAAGTCCAAAATACAAATAATCACAGTTAAAACGTCTAAAAACCAAAAATTATTAGACATCCAATCCATTTAATTTTATAATTTTTGGCAATTTTGACATGTGTCAATGCAATTATCTCATATTCAGTGATACCATCTTTGGTATTCTCAATCCTCATTGGTTAAGACTATGCAATAATCAAAGACTCTTCGTTAAGATTCGCGATTATCGCATGGTGTTCAGGAATACTAAATTGCTGTCGTATGCGTTAACGACCATGCGTTACTTAGCGCATGCGGCAGTTAACGCATGTTTCGAGAATTGGGCCCCAGATGGGGAAAGGGGAATCGTACGTCGCACATAGACGTAGTGTTTCGGGAGGGTTTACATATATTTTTAGTAAAAATTATTTAATGACCAAAGCAATAACATATGGGTCTTCGGAATCAGAGGTAAATTTAAAGAAAACATATTCAATATTATACAGGGCATTAAAAAAGTCATTTTATATATTTTCTTATAGATTAAAATAGTAGGTAGCTCAAAGTGGAAGAACATTTTTGTTAGTATTTTATTATCTATTATCTTTTTTTTTTAATACATGAAGAGTAAGTAAAAATATAAAGCCATTTATTATTATTTTTACATGGGTATTGTCAGAAATCCTTTTCTACAGTTCGAAAAAAGAATAAATATATTGCGGACTACCTTTTTTATGAAATAAAAAACTTATTAAAAACAATAGAACAATTTTATTTCAGATACATAAATATACAAATAGGATCTTTCCATTACATGCCATTTGGGTTGCATGTCACGACACCTATTTTTGGCATTATTTGTGTAATGGTACAATAAGTCATTTAGGAGAGTAATCAGCAATGATCTTATAATATTTGGACAAGGCTAAAACACATTAGCTTAAGATTATCAAGAGATACTTTATTTCTAATTTGTCCGGATAGAAAAAAAACTGAAGGAAAATTATAAAAACAAATAATTAAAATTAAAAATTACTGATTCTGAAATAAAATGCTTTTTGTAAGTAAACTTCTCACTCTGGCTTTATTAACAGTTTTTAATTTATTAAATTCATGATGAAGTCGAATGTCTATATATTTATCTAAAATGAGCTTCGTGACAGTAATGCAATGGTCATTAAGTGGTTCAAAATCAAAAATATGGTTAGAAAAAACATCAAAAATATTTGAAGGCAAATATCGCATAGAACTATTTACTAATTTACATTTTATATTGGCAATGTTAATAATATTATTACTGTGTATGTTCATTGAAACTGTTTTTATACATTTTTCAGCTTCACTACAAACAGTAACTACAAATCTAGAAGCTTTTTGTAATTTTCCGTAAGTTTTTTGATTTTGCAGTTTTGATAAACTGTAATCTCCTTCTAAAATCGCAAAACACTGTTTGCAGTGAATCTTGTTCTTCAAAGATTTTACTATAAAACCAGAAATGTAGGCAACTACATCCTGAATGTATTCGCTCAGAAAATATATAGATATATATTCATGGTCACGAAGCTCATTTGTAAATTCCAAATTTTCTTCAGAAGTGTCTGATTCGTAACATTTTAAATTTAACGCAATTTTGCTACTAGTGCTGCTACAATCCAAGATGCTGGTGCCATCTAAAGCAATTGCATTGGCAGTTTTATTTGACTTCACTTCATTATGAATTATTAATTTTTTATGACAATTTTGAAACAATCTGCATGTGGGATTGTTATTGAAGCCACATCTGTTACGAACTGCACTAAAAAAAGTTCCAAATGGTCCTGAGAAATCTAAATTTTTATTCATTACTACTGAATCCCAAAACAGACATTTCATGCTTTCAATGCAAATTAAGAACCCTAAAAAACCTGTCTTCCTACCACTAGCAACAAAGGGTTCATTATTTAATTCTAATTCTATTATATATTTACAAACCCGATCGAAATATTTACATATATCCTGCCAATTCTTTTCAGATGCAGGTTGCTTGAACTTATATTTGGCAAAAAAAATTTTAGAATTAAAAATATCAAAAATATTATTAAAAAGTAATATGAAATCTGAAGTTGCTTCAGAACCAACAAAGTCAGGTAACTTTAAATCATTTTCGACAAATATTAGAGCATCAGAAACACTTTTACTTAGAATTTGAACAACAATTCTAACACGCATGCAAAAATGGTCAGAACATATTAAGGCTTCTTTCATTTTCATAATGTCTTCCTCCACCAAGCATAGATTTTGCAGCCAAATTCTACGTTGAATAATTTCTCTAGGAAACCTGATCAGAAAATATACAACATTATTATTTAAATAAACAATGCTAGTGCTAAATACTTTTACACTGTTAAATAAATTAAGCCTTATTCCCCGTATATGCCTACGTCTATGCTAACATAATCTTACTTATGAAATGATCGAATAACATTCTTATTCTGCGTATTTCCGCACGCTATACATTTCCTCCCCATCGTAAAAGTCCTTATTAAAAAGTTCAAGGTTTAAATTATTCTTGAAAACTACAAAAAAACACAAAAATCACAATAAAATTTGATCTGTCACTTTGATAACATCAGCAAAATGTCTTAGGTTGCCAAACTTAAAAGATATATACCAGAATGTTTAATATTCACATATGATACACATGTAAAAATAGCTAAATAAAAGTCTTTAAGTGATTGCAATTAATAAAAAACTCATATTGATGCTTTCAATTCTTTATTTCCTTTTTTTATTAGATTGTATTAAAGGTAATAGTAATTTTTTTAATAAAAATTTAATGTTTGATATTTGATATCTGACAACATAGGAAGAGCGTACTGTCAAAAAAAAGTTGCGGACAAGTGTAATGTATACAAGGCGTATCTATTTATCCGATATCTTTGGTTCGGATAGACAGGGGCTGGAGCGAGACAAATTTTAGGGTGCTTTTAAATGACATTTAAGCGTGTTAAACTGTCACTAATCGGAATAAACCGCACGCTAAAAGGGTCGTTTGGAGTTAAAAGTGTTAAAGGAACTTGGCAGACCGAACGCAATGAGTGTTACAGTTAAATATAGCCGAAAATATGCATTTTATACAAAAAAAGTATCAGACAAAAGTTTTATAGTTTTTTAGGGGAAACATTTTGGCTAAATTAATTTTTTTATAGCCATATCGAGGTGAATTTTTTTTTTCAAATTGGAACCCTATTTTTTACATAGGTATTCTTAGAGTTCATAAAAAAATAAGAAACTTCTAAACGAAACATTTTTTTATTAGACTTCTACTTATTGAGTAACACCTACTTGAAAATTTTGCTGCGCGAAAAAAAAAGCTAGCCATATTATGGTTAGCTATAAAAAAATGATTTTAGCCAAAATGTTTTCCCCAAAAAACTATAAAACTTTCGTTTTTTATAAAAGGCGGTATTTAACTGTAACATTTTAATTTGAACACCTGGTATATTTGACATTTTTTTGGAACATAAAATATGAATTCTACCAGTAGATATATTCATTTGTTTTTCAGAATATATTAATTATTGTTCTTAACCTACAACACGATTAGGGGGTCGATTCTCGATTCGTAGGAATTCTGTTTCTCGCGCCCATTTTTGCTGGTCGTATTGTATGTAGGGTTTATTTAAATGAGTAGGGATATATTAAAAAAAACTGAGAACTATTCCAAAAGAATACAAAAAACAACTCGAGAACAGTACAAGTTGTATTTATTGGATTTGAAAGACAAACCAAATTTGATACTATCAATCCTTTTTCCTGATTATCTTTTCTGTTGATGTCATCGGCTTCGACAACTCAGGTCATTAGCCTCGATTTCTGTGTTACCCATTACGCACGAAGTGAAAAAGTTTACGCACGAAGCCGTGCGTAATGGGCTTTCAACTCGTGTAACGTACTATACTTTTTCTACGCCCACTTATTTTCTTCTAATAAATAAAGGACATATGCTTGTGTCGCCAATCCATACATTTTCGATAGGTAATTTTGTACCTTTCTGTGGATTTTAGCAGTAACAAATTATGTGTACCATCTTGAGCTTTTTCTAAAATTTCCGGTGGAGTGCTCATAATTTCATCATTTTCACTACTAACAGATATTCGTAGGTAAAGTTGAGAAAATGTTCGAACACAATAATATTTTGTTACAAAAATTGACAATATAAACGAAACGACGTTTGTTTCCATAGCATGCTAAGAAAACGCAACTTAGTTTTTTAAAATTGTATAATGTGTTGCCGACATTTAGGGGCATCACTTTTTAATCCAAAATGTATCTCGCTACTGCTAAAAGTTTGTTTCTAAATTGACTAAATTTATGTAAATAAACCAAATAAAGTCTTACGTAGATAAAAATTTGATTGCAATTTGATTAAACTAAGAAATTTAAGTTTTCTTATCAAAACGTACGTGTATGTTATGAGATCTCATTACGTGCATGTTATTGTTAAATGTCATTTACAAAGAATGTTGACAGTGCGATTTTTAAAGTTTACTGACATGGGCGTAGAAAAAATATTTTTTAATAGTAATTGGCACAGGTGCCGTTTGGTAAAGTACAATGCTGTTACATGCCTTTGGAGCATATTTCATTTCGTTATCAGAGATGACGACCGAAATTTGCAGTGGGCTCTCCTACTTTTTTTTTCCCGATACTGTATAAAGTTAAAACTTTGTACTTTGGAGATGTATTCGTTTATCGATATCACTTGAATAGAAATGTATGCTAATTTGTTGCATAGATTTATGTGAACTAGCCATTTTAAAAACTTGTTTTTCTGTTTTTTGCCAAAATAATACAATTTAAATGATTTATAAACATTATGTTTTGGAATGTAATAATAAATAATAATATAATCGAAGCAGTATAGTATTAGTTTACATATGTGACCCTCAAAGTTGGGCTGATAATTCTCAAATGACAACAAGTGGCTTTATAAAAAGTTTATTCAACCAAATCAAACTTATAAATCAACAAGTACTTGGCAGTATAAATTATTAACAATTTAATATCTTATAAAAAATGTCATAAATATTTTATAATTTAAATATAAATAAATAAGGCTAACAATGATACCTATACAAGAATTTTAAACTGGTAACCTAAAGCTGTTTTTTATAAAAATTATACATGGTCCCTTCGAGTATATGATAATTATTAAATCTAAAATTTTTGGAAGTAAAATAAATGGAAGATAAAAAATAAGTCTTTGGCAAATTTTTTAGTTCCCTCAAAAAGTTAGCCTAAATTTAAAATTAGTTCATTTCTATCGAAAAATAAACTATACAGTCTATCATTAATTCAGTACAATTTTTTATTCAGCATATTAAGTACGAATTTGCTATTTTATCAAAATGTAGCAGTAACCCCAGAACTAGTGCTACCGCAAATATCAGATAGACCATGTTACACAAAATTTACAATTGCCGCGTTCGAATATCCACATCGGATGCATCTGAGATGTTGTAAATCTTTGATCACATGATTCAGTATACATAAATGTAGTAGGACAGATGTGTCCGATGTGGATAAACAAACGCTCGAGATGTAAAAAATGCATTGGATGTGGATATTCAAACGCGGCAAATGATAGTACAATTAATGGTTTTGCACTTCTTGACAAAACACATTTGGCAATTAATTCTTTTAAATAGTATTAATTCAAAGTTTTTTGAAACTGTTAACACAATTAAGAGCCTCATATTTACAAAAAGTGAAAATTTGATCTTTCAAGCCCACCCAGTATTATTCTGCACACAAAATCTGTTTTAAGCCAATTTCTTATTTAATTTTCGTTAAATTTATTTTTTATATTTAAAACTATGTTGTGAAAAAATATTGTTCACAAATTCAACAGAAAATGATATAAGAAAACATAAGGCTTAAAACAGTATAAATGTAATGTTAGTCCATTTTAAAATACACTTTTGTTCAATAATTCAAACCATTTCTTATTTATAATTATGAAAAAATGTCATATAATGAACTTACGTATTTTTTTATGTTTAAAACTTATAAAATTTGTACAATATAAAAATATTTTACTCTGAGCGTAACCAAGTGTTAAAACTCAACTTGCAATTATAATTTATACATTGCCTAACTTTTATATAGGGGGCATCTCCGAAATAGTATGTAAAAAAAACAAGTACACGAGATTTAATACAAATAATAGAAACAGGAAAATGTTTCCATTTATTTGCAACATTTCAAAAATAATTAAACTTTGGTGATATTTTAATGTTTTTTAGAAACACTTATAAAAATTAAAAGATTATTAATTGGCAATAAAAAACGAAAGTGAAATAAATATAATTGTTTAACTTCTTTATGAATATTAATAAAAAGGATGTATACAGGGCGTTTATGTAATATAAATTATTATTATTATTATTACTGAATACTTTTTACCATTTCTGAAATATTCCCTGAATAAAGGTATTGTAGAAACATGTGCAGATAAAAATAATACATTTTATTTAAAATAAACAATAAAGCTCAAAAACATGGGGATGTTAAAACATGATGATAATATATAAAAGAAAAAGTAGGATTTTTTTTTATTCAGAGACATAGTATTATTTTTTATATAATGTTCCAATTAAAAATCTACACAGTACTTCAACAATATTCCAGTTTGTATAAGGTTTTACAGAATTCTATTCTGCAACAACTTATAATGAACTAGTTTGTAAATAGTACATTTCCTACTAGCATAATTTCCTCGTTTGTTGTATTGTATAAACAATAAGAAAAATATATATAATATTTATGATTGTATAACACTTACAAAGTTGTTGTAGAAAACCTTATTAAAACTGAGATTCTAAATTACTAACTTATGATATTACGCTCTAAGTCTGAACAATCAGTCCCCATGATTTTTACATGAGTGGAAAGTGTCACAAAATTTGACAAAAATAATATAGTCATTGGGATAGTGTTGTCTATGAATTTCAGACAAATTTTCAGTAGCAGTTCTCTCCATAAAGAAATGTTTAACAAAACCATTCCTAGTGAATGTTAAAAACAAATATAAACTAATCACCATTATTTATCTTTACTATTATTTGGCAAACAAATGTTGCTTATTTCACCTTTAACATTTTCTGAAATTGAGCTGTTTGTTTCTTTAGGATGGTTTTTCCTATGCTTAATATCACTTGATGTGGAAGCATCTTTATTTAAGTTAGATGTCAAATGATCTGGATTAATTTTTAAATTTGCCTCTCTTTTATTTCTATTACTATCAAAAGATGCCCTATCTACATGTGACCTTGAAGGCCGTACAATTTTTACAACTTTTCGAACAAAGTCTAGATAAAGGTCTTTCACAAATTCAATAAGATTAGCAGCAATTTCATTGGGAGTTTCGTATTCATTTGGAACTATACCGTCTACATGGGATTCAAAATATGAAAATAGAGGAAACCAAACTTTTGTACGCGTAGAGTCCCTTTGCATTAATGCTTGATTGTTAGACAAAGTATGGTAGTACAAAAATAGTCTGCTCGTGATGTAGAAAGCTACGAACACGTCTATGGAGTAATGCTCATGGGCAGCCAATATAAAAAAGATGCCGAACATATTTAACATCCATGAAAGTGTGTGCAGATAGTAAATATGTCTTGGAGTATCTAAAAAAAAGTTTGTTTATAATTTCATCAAAAGGTTCTTTTAACATCACTTTTAATAATAATGATAATTAGGGATACACCAATGCCGAAAACGGCCTATTTAAATTAAATGATTTTTTGCAGTTTTACTCCAACAAGCAGAATTGAAACTATACTTCAGGCGCGGATCATGGCCTAATAAGAAGGAGGCTACTTTTGAATACATACTAATATAATATATTTGTATTAAGTATATAGAGTGTACCTTTCAAAAATAGCCTCTGTAGCTTCCTCGTAGCCTAGGCCACGAGCCGCCTCTGAACTATATTCTTACTAATATTACTTATTTCGCCATTAAAATATCGGTATTGATAAAAAATCTTCTATTGATGCATCCATAATAATAAGATTATGATTTGATTTTAAATGCTAATACATCACACCAAAAGTTCTTCAGCATCGATTGTTTTTATTCTGTAATGTGTATATATATTTTTTTTTAATAAACTTACATTCAGTAATGAAGAAATTAAGCATAGTCAATGCAACAGTATGTCCACTAAACATATAGTCTCCACATGTTTTAACACCTCTGATGGACAACCCAGCTCCTCTCCAAATGATAAATGCCTGAGATAACCTCCTGGCTAAATCAGCGAAGAGAGAATGTCCCTTGGTTGTGTAAAATCTCGGATGACATTGTAGGTGGGCTCCTGGTACACTTAAGGATGTTATAAGCATTGTTACACAACGCAGAAGGAAAACTGTTCCAGAAAGGGCAAAAAATCTTCGCATTAAAATAAACCTAAAATTTTTGTCAATTATAAATAAAATTTTACTGAGGTGATAATTCATACATATATTAATTAAAGGCACTATCTGATTAAAAAAGTGGGCGACTAGACAGGGTGTAGAGAATTATTAAACACTATTGTGATTTCCTAAACCACTGGCGATATAAAGTTTCCAAATCATGAGAACAACTTACTGATGTTTTAAAATCCATGCTGTCAGGTCCGATACCAAAGATATTTGAGGAAAACTATATAGGTCGATTTTCTATTTTTGGATTTATTTTTAAAAAGAATTAGAAACGCCTGTCATGATTGCTCGATCAACAACCCAAGTAATCTTTTAGGAGGATGCCAGGAACGTGGCCACTGTTATGTATTGAGGATACCATCTTATCTTACTAATAAATAAATACGAAAGTTTGGGTGTATGGATGGATGTTTGTTACTCAATCACGCAAGAACGGCTAAACAGATCTGGATGAAATTTGGCACAAAGATAGATTATAGTCTGCAATAGCACATATGCTATTTTTATCCGTACAGTTCCCGTGGGATAGATTTGTTTTTGTTTTTCACAGAGCAAGTGATCGGACATGATTTTTTGCATAGTGGTAGTGAAAAATGAAAATTTGAAATACTGCATAAATAAATAATGACGTGTTTCAGGGTTTTTAGATTTTCACATTTTATACGGGGGTGAAAGTTTGCATGGAAGTATCGTTTTTTTATAGGTAGGAACTTGAAAACTGGAATTAAAGCTACTTATCACAAATAATGGTTTCAGGTTTTGGATTTTCATATTTTAAGAGGGGAAGAATGAAAATGGGGGAAAGAAGGAAAGTGGGGAAATGGGTGAACGGTGTGGGGGGTGAAAGTTTATATGTAGGAACTTGAAAATTGGAATTGTAGGTACTCATCATAAATAAATTGGAATTTTACATATTAAGGGAGGAAACGAAAGGTGAAAGTTTAAATAAGTCTTTCGGTCTTTTAATGGTAGGAACTTAAAAATTCGATTTGCAGCATTGTACATAAGTAAATAATTACGTATTTCAAGGTTTTTGAATTTTCATATTTTAATGAGGGGGGAAATGGGGAGTATTGTAAAAATAAATAAAATAAACAAAAATGAATAAAAATAAATTAAATTTAATAAAAATTAGTAGAAAATATTAAAAAATATTAAAAAAAAATAAAAATTAATAAGAATTAATAAAATTCAATAAAAATTAATAAAAATGATAAAAAGTAACAAAAAGTAATAAAAATTAATAAAAAATTATTAAATATTAATAAAATTAATGAAAATTAATTAAAAATTAATAAAAATTAATGAAAATTAATAAAACCTAAAAAAAATCAATAACAATTAATAAAAATCAATAAAAATTATTAAAAATTAATAAAAATGAGTAAAAATTAATATAAATTAATAAGAATTTATTAAATTTAATAAAAATAAATAAAAAATAATAATAATGAAAATTAAAAAACAAAATAAATAAATAATAAAAATTTAATAAAAATTAATAAAAATAATTAAAAATTAATAAAAATTATTAAAAAAATTTTAAAGGTATAGCATGACAATAACGAACATTGTTATTCACTTTTAAAAATTGAGGTTTGAGAAATTCCATCAAAGCGGGATCGGGTCAGCTAGTTCCTAATAATTTAAGGAAGCAATAAAAGGCTGGTACCACTTAATCAAACTGATTTACTGTCTGCCAAATCACATGTTCTATTGGCATTTTTTCATTTATACTTCACCAAAACTATCAGCATTTCATGAAATCAGCCAGTGGCGTATCCCGACAACTTTATATATAATATGCAATATTTCCTCACAGTAAACCTTTACTGCAGAACTACAATTTGTATTACATTTAAAAATGTTTCAAGAATTATTATGTTTTTGTTTGTTCAATTCAACTAAGAGTATTACAAGTAAATGGTGTGTTGTAATGTATTTCTATTGTAACGTTTATTTATTTTAAACAGTTTATTAGTCTTGTAAGGGATAGTAATGAACTAGCTCAGTGATACTCAAAGTGTGCTCCGCGGAGCCTTTGTGGGGGCTCCGCAAAGACAATAATAGTCATAATAAAAAAAAAGAAGCAGTACTATCGCCACAAACGGGAGGGAACGGCTTGAGGACTTTTTTTTTTTAAAAGTCACTAAGAGGTCCTTTTATTTAATATTTCGCTTTTTAAAAAGGTTCCGCCGCCAAAAAAGTTTGAGAAACACTGAACTAGCTAATAGTTATTTTTTTTGTGTCATCGGCTTCAACTGCTAAGGTTATTTCGCCTCGTGTTCTGTGTAGGCTTTGTAACTGTTTCCCAGCGCCACTTTAGAAACAGCACTGTTAATTAGAACCCAACAGTGAATGGTCGAGTGGGGAAGCCTACCAAGGCCAGGGCCGCCAAGAGCCAGGCCGGGCCCCAGGACAATTCTCTAGATCGGGCCCCGTGACAAAAAAAAGCTCTTCTACTTGAATTTAAATTTTTTAACTTTCAAAAAAAAAAAAAAAAAAGGTCCGCTCTCAAAAACTTTTGCTCCTCCGCTTGAATTGAATTTTCTAAGAAAAAAAACTTCCCCCTCTCGTCTTGTGTCGAATTTCTCATACAAAACAACAAAAATCAAGTTGCCGGGCCCCCATTTGAGTCCGGGCCCCGGGAATTAATCCCGGCTACTTTAAATAATTAAATTAAATGAAAAAATTCCGGCCAGCTAATAGTTATAATAGGTATTTTGTTAACAGTATAGATACTATTTTATCTAGTATTGAGAATGCTTGTTACATTGAAAATAACGAAAATAATTTAACCTAATTTAGTTTGTTGAGTTTACACGAGTTAGGTAGTATTGTGTCAAATTTGGATAGCAAGGGTTCGCAAACTGATACACTAAAGAGCAAAATTATAAAAAGCAGTTTTAATGTAATTGGCTATGTATGTTAGATTAGGAGTTGGACGTTATTTGTCCTTGTCCACCGCGACCTTTTCAGATCTATTGTGGGACTATGTATGTTTAACACCTATCGAAAAAATATCAAACACAAATAAATGTAATGAATTTCGGCCAATCAACACCTTACCTTGTGCCGAGAAGCTTTTAGAATTGGTAGTTTACTTCGGGAATACTTTACCGAGAAAAAAATACTATTCTTCAACCAATCTGGTTTCAGATCTCAACATAAGTGTGAATCAGCCATTCAGCTAATCGTCACTGAATGGAAAAATAACATGACTAAAGATATGCATACTATTGCAGTATTCTTAGACCTACAACGCGCTTTTGAAACGGTAAACCGTGAAATATTACTTAGAAAATTAGAGAAAGGGCACGGTATTGAACTGGGTCAGAAATAATCTTTCTAACAGAAAACAGATAACGAAAATTAATAATTTACTGTCATCATCTATTGATGTAAAACATGGAGTTCCACAGAGACGTATTTTGGGTCCTTTACTATTTTTAATATATGTAAACGACAGAACATTTCAATGAATGTGAGTACATACACCTCTGTGCTGATGATACTTTAATATCAGTTAGTGATAAAGACATTAATGTTGCCATGCAAAAAATGAATAAGTCACTTCACAATATTACAAAATAAATAAACTAAAATTATTAAATGTTAACAAGACGAAATGTATGATAATAACTACACCTTTTAAGTATAAAAATATAAATATTAATGAAGTCGTCATTAAAATAGAAGACAATATTGTTGAGTGGGTAACGAAATTCAAATACTTGGATTTTATGCTTGACAGTCATTTATCTTTCAATAGTCATTTATCTTTCAATAGTCATTTATCTTTCAATAGTCATTTTAATTATTTGCAAAAGAAAACTGAAGAAATTATATTTTCTCTTGAGAGTCTCATATTTACCCATGAATTCCAGGATAACTGTATATAAAACTATTATTCAACCTCATTTTGAATATTGTCCTACCTTACTTTACGTGTTGGATTTAAATAAACTGAAATCACTACAATAGCTTCAAAACCGGGCAATGAGAACTATTTTAAGATGTAGCAAGCTTACTTCAATATTCTTAATGCTGGAGACCTTGGAGTGGTTATCCGTAAAACAAAGGCTTATGTATTTGGCAATGTGCTATATCTATAAAATGGTTCATAATCTTCTACCTTCCTATTTTAATAGTTTTATAATTTTTAATTATCAAATTCACAACTAAAAAAACAGGCTAAAGGATAACTTATATGTTAACACCCAAATTAAGGCATTCAAAATAAAAACAACTTTCAAGGGCTTTATTGATTATAACAATTTGCCAAGTTATATAAAGGGTTCTAAGACTCTAAATCAATTTATAACTCATTTAATGGATTATTTATTTAAAAAAATATAGTTTATATTGTTATTAAGCTTAATTACTAAACTGGTTAATTTCAATTGTATCTTATAGTTTGTATTGTTATTGTATTTTCTTTTCATAGTGTCATTTATTCATGTAAATTTAATTATTGTATACACTTTTTTGTATGAATTTGATTATTGAATAAATTAATTTTTTTGTACATTAGGTTGTATCCTACTTTCAAATAAAGATTATTATTATTTAATTTATAATTTATTTATATTAAGAGGAGTATTTACTTGGATGTAGCGCGGAGCATGCAAGGGTTTCGTAGTACCCCACTTTTAAAGTTTTGACCTTTTCTAAAAGAAAAAAATATGTACGTGTAGGTAAAGGTTAAATCTATGCTCCTTTGGAGACACTTTTTCAAAATTTGTTTCAGTTTCTTATAAAAAAAACATACAAAACTCAACTTTTTTACCCATTTTCTCATTTTTTTTTTTAGAAAAAACTAAATTGAATTTTGAAAAATCGGTTCCAGAGGAGCATAGATTTAACCTTTACCTACGCGTACATATTTTTTTCATTTAAAAATAGTCAAAAATAAACTTTAAAAGTGGGTTACTACGAAACCCTTACATTTCAAGATTTTTCGTCTGGAAAGTGGCGCCTCTG